CTCTTCCGATCTCCCCAAAACCCCAAAACCCCAAAACCCCATAACCTAAAAAATTAACAATATTTTGGATTAAGATTAATTTCCTAAATTAAAATCTGAATCAGATGTCATTAAATTTCTTTGTAATTTCTTTATATTAAAACCTGCGTATTTTCCCAAAACTAATCTTATTGTCTTTTAGAAATATATTTCTTCAATAAGAATGTAATCTTATACTTATTTACTAATTCAACTTAAGTTAATACAATAATAATGATACAAGATAGCTTCTGTCAAATCCTTAACAGTATTGAGAATGAGTTACAGCGAATATTGAAAGAAATTAGAAATCATCAAATTTCTAAGGTAAATACAGAGGTAGAATATATTGCTGACAATGAAATGTATTTGAATCACAAAAGCATCAAAACTTTTATTGAAATCAATGTTGAAGTAAACTAGATGAAGAGTGAAAGAGTATTACAAATTTATAAGCGGGATTTATAAAACAGAGTGTATTTATCATTTTATGTTAAAATAAATTTAGATATGCTTAAGAGATACTGGGTAGATTTTAATGTTCCATTAGAGTGAATTCAGATGGCTCTGTTCACCATTTCTTCACGATTCTATTGCTGGTCTTCTTTAGGGCTTGAGCTTGCTCAGTGATCTTATCAACAAAGGTCTAGTCAGCTTGGATGCTTGAAGTCATCATGAAGATGATCAAGAGGACGAGGAGTGAGAGGAATCCGTTTAGTTGCATGTGGGAGTGTACTTTATTTTTAATTGTTATTAATTTCTGATAGGACTGCCTTTTATAGACCAGTGAGGCTGATAATTAAGCCTCGAGTAATTTAACTTTGAAACTTTTGGAGAATTAACCTAGTATACTTGAATTTTCTCTATGATCTAAATTTCCTTCTCATTTATTGAATCGATTTCTTGAAAATACTTTCTATAGTCGATATGCTTCTAGTGTCTTGGAACTCATAGCGGCTAAACTAATGCACAAAATATAAATTTTTGTCCTTTGATATTGAAGAAGAATACATGACATCTAGATAGTTAACAAAGATTTTTAAATTCACACGACAATGAACTAAAAGAATTTGAATATAATAAGCAATTCTTGCCTTTTAGAACTAATTCAAAATATAAAATGTACAAAAGTTGAACAGATTTTATCTAAACAATCGAAATATATAATAATACAGTAACCTACAGTATAATCTTAGAAATGGAACAATAATCGATCAAGGATCTAACTTCTTAAATTTAAAGCATAATTAGATATGAACTCAGATTTAATAGAAAATGTTTCGAATCGAAGCTGATGAGAGCTTTGATTACTAAGAGGAAAAATTACTTTGAATTGAGGCATAAAAATTAATGGAGGAAATCTAGAAATAATTACTAATATAATAGCATAATCTAAATCCTAATTCGGGCAGCCTACTAATAATTCGATCAAGTGAAAATGTATAGACAGTGTTAGAGAAGATAGTTCTAATAAAATGCTTGATGGTACTCTAGACTTGGGATAGAATATAAATAAAAGACACAGCAGAAAAATTATTGTTCAAACCAGCCATATAGCAAATATTATTAATTAAATTGTTTAGTAGGACTGCTCGTATATAATTTTCTGTTCTATTTTAATTATATACTTCGATATATGTTCATAAGAAATGAAAGATGGGGTTTTGGGGTTTTGGGGTTTTGGGGTTTT